CCCCAAAACCCCAAAACCCCAAAACCCCAAAACCCCAAAACCCCAAAACCCCTTATTAATTTATCGTTACTGAAAACCCCTTGTCCTACAGGCTCAAAACGGCAATCAACCACATCAAACCAAAACCTATCGTGGAAGATTCCCATTGATCTAGAATCAGTTCTTTCAGCCATATTTTATTCCAACAGTATTTAATTTCCCCCAAATTGGCTGGTTTACAGCAAGCGTTACTACATTCATCTTCTTAGACTGGGAAATCCAAATTTCGAACTCCCTTAAACAGACTCAAACGGGAATTTTACTGAGAGATTTATAAACATAAAGCTGATAAGAGTGTTTTAGACGGTGAAGATCTGTCTAAAAAGGACATTTTAGCTAATCTTCTAAAGTTTCCTTCATACTTGATGTCTTATCAGTCTTGATATTAATATGTAAAATAATTCACTTTGGCTAACTTGTAATAACTAATTTACAGGTTATTTTATACAAGGAAGAGATGTCAGATTTTTGATAAACCATGAAATATGGCTTGAAAAAAGAGCCCTCCAATCCCAACAGAAGCATTTTAAGGTAAATTTAGAAGAAATTAAATTAGCAATGAATTAATATAATGGAAGGACTTCTTCATGATTAGATTTCAGACAGATATTTGTAGACTGTTCATGGATCTATCAGTGTTGACTCTAGTACCCAAGGATGCGATTGAATCTCTTCAGCAGTAGGACGAAGCTCTGGATCAAAAGAGAGCATACAGGATAGTAAGTCCTTGAGTTCATCACTTATTTCAAGACTTTTTAGAGCAAAATCCAAATCGTGATGTTGAACTTCGTTCCCATTTTCGGAAGAATTTGTCTTTTTATCAAGGTTTAGTTTTGAGAAGTTTAGTGGAATAAAATCATTTACGCTTGAGTTCTTTTGGCCTCAAGTTATATATAATAAAGTTACTCCAAGTGCATAGATGTCTGAGGACTTGGGATTATATTCATCAACCCTGTGAAGTGGTTCAAGCTCTGGAGCCATAAACCCTTGAGTACCTCTTCGACTGGTCACCATACCATTTTTAGAGTTGATAATTTGGCTTACACCAAAATCTGAGATCTTTACATTGAAATGGAGGTCTAACAAAATGTTATGCGGCTTAATATCTCAATGTGCGATATCTAAGTTATGCATATAGCTCACTCCGCTAAGAATTTGATTGAAGAGGAAGCTAGCTGCAAACTCTTCCATTCTTCCAATTTTAGAGGTAAGTTCAGAAAGAGTACCATTTTGTGCAAGCTCTAAAATAGTACAGTTTATTGATTCTTTACTGCCATTTCCAAACTCTGCAATTGAATCAAAGAGTACTTCATAGTTTTGAAGGATATTCGGGTGTTCGGACAAATAGCTCATTATTTCTGATTCCCGCCTTATAAGCATCCTAGAGTACTCCTCGGTATATTCTTTCTTATCTTTAATAACCTTAGCAACAAAGTAATCTCCTGCATAATTCTCAACAAGGAAGACATTAGCCGATCCTCCTTTGCCAAGAAGCTTCTTTGTAATATATGTGTTATTAATCATTTGGGAAAATTATTAATACTGTAAATAAAGTACAATATTTATTCCGTCTTAAGGGGTTTTGGGGTTTTGGGGTTTTGGGGTTTTGGGG